ACATGCCCCAGACTACCCCCAAAAGTGTTGTTGGGGCTGCGCCATACTTTAAAAAAATGAACAGAAGGGAGATGAAGGAACAAGGACAAACAAATTTCAATGCAAACTATCTATGATGTGAAATAGTTAGACTTTAGGTTTCTCTACATTTTCCAGTAAGAATTAAAAAATTATTTTACTTTCTTGATCTCTTAGCTTGATCGCTTTTTCGGAAATGGGAGTAATTTCATGTGACTAGAAGGAATTAAGTTTACTCTGATTAATTCACTATGCGAAGGAAGGCTTTGCTTGAAAGACATCCAAACTACAAACGTAAATCGCATTGATCAACTTTAATGGATGAAAACTTTAGTATGTTTTTAATATCTTAAAGCTGAATTTGACTGCCGGAATAAAATAAAAATCCGTAGGCTGATTTTCACTCAGTCAACATTTATTCGATTTTCAGGCAGCAAAACGAAGTAAACATGATTGGCAACTATCAGTCGTCAATTCTCTTCTTTTTCTTAAGCTTTCGTTTCGGCTGCCATATTGATTTGTCAGGTTTAGGTGGCATATTAGCAGCAGCCTTTCTTTCCTTGTACTCTTGCCTGCAAGAAAAAACAAGCGGAGGAAAAGTTGAAATCATTAAAGTCATTTCTTTATTAATCCAGGTTAAATAAAGCACAGGCTTGCATCAATAAATACTTTTTAAAACTGCAACACTACCGCATCACTCGTTTGGCCACTCGTTTCAAACAAACTGATCTTGAACCTTAATACCCAAACATCAGAAGCCATTTTCTCCACACCGTTCTTTGTACATTTCTTTTGGTACTGACAAGGAGAATTTGATTGACAATCAGGAGCCTCTGAAATTGGTGATCATTTCCTTTATCCTCATGACCTTTATATTTGATTCAAGAGTGATAAGGTAAGGAGAGATTAGAAACCAGTCTCTATCAAGGGATTAAAGATTAAACAAGAAGGGCATTTCGCAGCACATAACTTACCATTTCCGTCCGATGTATTTCACAATTCGTACACATAATCGGCACACGACAAAACAAGCAACCAGGAAGGCGACAGCAACACCAAACCAGCGAAGACAGCATAGACGGCATCTTGCCAGCAAAAGAAATCAAAGCGAGCTTGAATATGTTTTACATATTCTGTTGGAAAACAAAATCAATGTCACAAATAAGAAACAAAGAAAAGTTTAAAAATATTAGCAATAGTGTATTTTTTCGCCGAGTCAAATGCAATAATTGAGAAAAAGTCGAGCAACTGTAGAAATTCAGAAGAAATTTGAGGCATCCTTTAAAGTTCACCGTGCGGCCCCTATATAAAAAAATAATAGTTAAATGATAATAATAATGTTAATAATAATAATTGTAATATTAATGATAATAACAATCTATTCCAGACAAAAAGTGAGAAGTGAAATAGTCACTCTCTCCTCTGCTAGGCCAACTATGACTTGTCACACTCAAATTGGTGAACAATTGACTTACCACGGAGGAAACCAAAGTAAACCTCGACAGCAACGTCAGTTATAGAGCAGACGACAGGAACAAAACGGGTCAACAATCCACATAACTCCGTTAATCATCATCTTGGTCAGCTCAGCTGACATATTTTGGATCATCTTAGCGAACGAATCTGTCGCATTTATGGAAAAAACCGTCAACTATTGAGGTCCATTCCAGATAACCTCGGCTAACCATTGAAGTCCACTCCAGTAACGTCAGCCAACAATTGAAGTCCATTCCAAATAACCTCAGCCAACCATTGAGGTCCATTCTAGATAACCTCGGCCAACCATTGAAGTCCATTCCAGATAACCTCAGCCGACTATTGAAGTCCATTCCAGATAACCTTAGCCAACCACTGAAGTCCAATCCAATACAAAATATGAAAGTAGGAGTGAGAGCAAATTTTGGGTGACTTGCTTGCCGCTGTTTGTCTGATGCATGTTGATATTAGCTCTTAAAACGAGCCGAATTTTGACCAGGAAAGCAGTTTACCATTATATAAAATGATAAATAATATCATTATTTATATATAATAATGATATATTAGTTTATATATATTATATTATATCCAATTTGTTTACAATGTGACAAATCGCCTGGTCGACTAACGACTTTTGTCTTGCATTTACGTTCCATTTGCAATATGTGAATTGCGGACCTATCTAACTTTTTTATCACCATACTCGTGCCCAGATCTTCCGCGGGATGCTCTTGTCCTCCGAAATCAATAGGGTCAGGACCTCCCTGAGGCCAAGTTTGACGCAGATTTAAAGAGGGGCAAGCTAATACAGGTAATGTGGCCCATGTTCCCATATATATATGCTTTTTTGTAAAGTTGAATGCATTCGTAGTGACCGAGAGTAACTCTTTCACGATTGAAAACCATACGATGTATTTCCTCTCGAAATTGATCGGAGTCAATCTGTTGGCGTTCTGAAATGTATTTACAGCCACCTGTTTTAGTTTTCTTTGCACTTGATCATCTCCCCACTACTTGCGTTGCGCAACTTCCTTCGATTCTGGTCGTGAACAGTAAAGAAAAACTTGGAAATATGCCACTACAGGTGCATCTGGAGTTGAGTAATTCCCAATAACTTTCGATACTTACGATGATGACAGGTCGAGTCTTGTTTGGCGCTATGTAAAACATTTTTTCCGGTTTGAAGTTACGTATTCTTTAAGACTTCGTTCAAAGTTTAAAGAAACATTAGATTTCGCCACGCATGTATCTTCCTTTACAAAAAAAAAAAAAGCGTCGAAATCGATTAATGAGAGCTAGATCAGGTGTTATAAGAGTGTTACTTTTTATGTTTATAGCGAACAACTCCCACATCGTTACTTAGTTGCCTAGATACTTAATTATTTATGGGAATTAAGTTTTAAAAGTAAGAGTCACCAGAATTATGAGTCATTTGGAAAAACAGCAATATCGGGTGAATAATATATTTATGTAGGCTTTAAGCAGCCAGTAGAAGCCTGAAAATGTAATTTGAGAGTACTTTTAGGAAAACTATTAATAGAAAAGGTACATGTAACCAACATTTAACCCTCAAATGGAACACAAACACTATGATTGTAACAATAATTATCAGATTCCTTCTACCTGGTTCAGGAATATAACAGTCTCATTATTCTACCATGTGTATTCGTCTTTATTTATAAATTCTCAAGATTTATGTACTAATTCTTCCTGCTGTTCTCCAAAATTTTAGTTTCAAGAATTTCCTGTTGTAGTTGAAATTTTGTATATTTTTTTTTTGTTAAAAATTTCTCTTTGAAATCTCAATAATGTTGTACGGAAATTACTTTCAATCACACATAGGGAGAAAGGTTAAAAAAAAAGAAACATTGGCTCAGATTAAAATAACATTATGTAAACTTAATACATTTTTGCAATTCAAGTGTTCATAAAGCTCTCTGATTACCGTTAGCTGTTTTCTGTGGATCAGTGAGGAAGGATGAGCCAATCACCATACCCCCCATCAGGAGGAGGCTACCAAGGGCAATCAACGTATCCAGGTACAGTGTGCATTAAATATTAGGTAGACCTACCACCTTATGTTCATTTATAAAGGGGGTAAGTTTCTAAAGAAACCGTGGTGCTGCATCAGTGGGAGAGTATAACAGGGTAATTATTTAGTATTATCAACTGAGTTGATAACCTAAATTAGGGTTAGCCACTGTAAAGAGTTTCAAAGCTGACATTTCAAATGTTAGCCCTTTGTCAGGGTGAATGGCAAAGAGGTAATGTTCAAAACATCTGCTTATTTTCTTCTTTATGATGGCCAATTTACACCATCAATGCAGGTGATAATACTAAATTACCCTTTTTTATACCTTGTTTAGGTAAAGATTTGAAACAAAGACAGAAATTTAGTTAGAATTTGTTATGAAATTACCTTATTGACCATTAATTAAGCCTGTATTTCCCAAGATCTGATCATCCATTCTCCCTTCTTGCTGCTAAACATTTCTTTGTAAATCAGTTAAAGGAATTTGGTATTAGATTAAAATAACAACTTCTACCCAATAACTTTTAGTATTCTAATTACCTGTTTTCTAGATAATGTATAAATAATGTATTAGGAAGAAGTTATATGTTAATCCCTTCTTGGAGTTTAAGGGCTAAAGGCAGGTTTCTAATGCAACATTGATCAGTAGTTGTAGACATTCAAGAATATATACCGGTACTAGCAATTCAAAAGTGAACAGAATGACAAGCTTGTGTTTTTATTTTATGACAGGACATTGCTTTTTAATGGTCTCTCACTATTATTTACCATGGAATAGGTTGGAAATAAGATAGCCAATCACATCACAGGTATATTTAGTTGGGAGAATTTGTCAAGAAATCACAAAACTCTTAGTGAAGGCCTTCTCTCAAACCCATCTATTTAATAGCTGATAGTTTGAGCTAATTCCTTATTTACAGGTGTACAGCAACCAGGTTATGGATCTACAGCTCCTGCACAAGGAGCGCCTCCACAAGGATATGGTCCTCCTCACCAAGGTTACCCACTTCAGCAACAGCCAGGTTATGGACCACCCCAACAGCAAGGAAGTTATGGACCTCCTCAACAACAGCCGGGTTATGGAGCTCCCCAACAGCAAGGAAGTTATGGACCTCCCCAACAAGGTTATGCTCCACCTCAACAGCAACCAGGGTATGGCCCTCCTCAGCAACAACCAGGCTACCCGCCTATGCAGGGTCAGCACCAGTATGATGGTGCACCACCCCAACAACAACAGGGGTATGGAGGTACACCTAACCAGCAGCAGGTTTTCACTCCTCTTACAGGTCAGTAATAGGGTTATGGTTGCTTGTAACACACAGTTGTCTTGGTGGATGGAAGTGGTGATAAATGAGTAACTCCTTAACTTAACTGTTCTATAAAGCAGTTGTATGAACTCTTTATGAACATTTTGTAGCTTTAGTTCTCTTTTTGATACAGCTGTCTGCAAAAATTTTACCAGACAACTTGGAAGCATGTGGTGCTGAGAAATGATGATTATGAATTGATAAAAAATTAACAAAGATTTTAATAATAGTGATCAAATACCTTTGCACTACTAACAATAATTACCAGAAATGAACAATGTTTTAGGTTAGACCGCTAATTTATATGTAGTTTTTGACATTTTAATAAGTTATGCTTGAATACATTTATAATGATTTCTTTCATGGAGGGCACGTGTTTTTTGATTTACACTCTGACATTTTAAGTATGGAATAAAAACAAATTGTCAGGTCAGACTCTGAAGCTTGATATGAAAGGTGACTAAGGGATTATACAGTCTTATTACAAGAGCACACTGGCAAATATTTTTTTTCCTTGAACGTGATTTATGTAATTTGCAGGTGAAGCACAAACCCCAAGTTATGTTGGCTCGGATGTTCCTGATCAAGATGTAGATGACAATGAGAATGCCGCACCCCCTCCCCCAAGTGCCCCTCCAGCTGAAATGTTCGGAAAGTTTGCTGGATATGAGTCTGTTAGCTTTGGTAGGTGTTTGCGTTAAATATACCACTAAGTTAGAGATCCAACAGGTTCTTAAAAAAAGATGTGCTGTGTTATGCCCTGGTGAATAATGCCAAAGATCTCAAAGAATGGTTTTTAAGAAACCGTGACACTTTAAGGTATTAAGATAGAACTTGGTGTAATGGTTTTTGTGAAAGAAGGAATTATTGATCAAAGAGAAAAAATCCTCAGAGCATGCACAAAAACCAACCAAAGGCATTATAGCTTTTCCCATTCTAGGTTAATCCTTTCACTCCCATAAGTGACCAAGACAGAATTTCTCCTTACAATATCAATACAATATCAAGCAGGCAGTTGATGAGAATAGAGAAGAATATCACTCATGGGATTATTCATTGATCCAATACCAAGTTCTCTTTGCTTTTTGCAAAACATGAACCTTAAAATTGTTTATCTTATTTTTCATGATGCACTATTTGTACTTTTTGATTTACGTGAATTGTGCGCTTCACGACTTGTGCAATTTTGATAAAACTTTGAAAATATGAGTGATTAATTA